CCATGGAAACAAATACTACAAGGTGAGTAATGGGTAATGAGTATTTGCCTGTGACAGACTCTGCTTCCACCTCAGCTTCCTATTTCTGATAATCCTCTAATATTGAAACATCCAAATTGGTGTGGGGCCTTCTTGAAATTGTTGAAAGGACTGTGTAATGACCCAGGGTGGGATACAAAAGCAACAAAGTCACAAAAACAGGCGAAGTCCCTTTAATTACTTCAACTTGGCTTCAAAGCTCCAGTTATCATTCACTGGAGAAAAAACTCCCCCACAAACAGTTGCGAAAAGGAAGAAATGCCGTTCAAACTCAAAATGCATTTAAATTATAAATAGAAAAAACAATACAAACCACACTGAAGCAATTAATGAGACAAGGCAGGATAGGGGCTTGAAGACGTCCACAGATATTGAAATACACACACTGGGAAGGATGCCAGAACTCAGATAAGAACTGAAAGACTAGAATTATTTCATGCTTTGCTTCCAGCACTGGGCCATGTGCAGTTTGTCCTTTTAAACAGTCCTCACAGCTGCAGCCCAGGAGGGGGATCAGGGCCCTTTCCTCCCCCGTGGACCACGCCATTCACATTTCTCCCTTATCCTCTCCTCCCTGCGTGCCTTAGGATGAAGAGGGGATGGGCCTGGGTCTTCCTCTGACTGCCCAGCCGGCCTGTGCCCTTCCCCAGTTTCCTCCACAACCTCTGGAGCCACACTCCCACTCCGGCTGTTCCTTCTCTCCCTCAAAGTCAGACTCCAACAGGGGCACGACAGGCTGTGTTGTAGACTGGGGATAGATGATGTAGTAGAGTGTGTTCCCTTTGTAGGTAGGGTGGAAGATTATGGCTCAAAACTGGTAACCAAAAAGTTGGGATAGATCTTATTGTGGTGGTCTGCAGGAACGAAGCTCGGATCTTCAGGATCTGAGCTCTGTTTCTCCATCCCATCTAAGCATGTATGTAGAAGAGAATTCCTCCAGGTGGCTGGAGGGATGGAGCTCAAATATCTGAGTAGGGTTTTCCCATGGAGGCATTCAGCTCCTCTCGAGAGGCAGCTTTTTCAACCAGTCCATAGAGATGAGAGAAGTCCCCCTGGCAAGTCGGAGCAGCTTTCAACCTTTCCTGCTGGCTTCCCCATTGACTTTCTGGGAAAGCCAGCAGAGAAGACAGCAAATGGTGATCACATGATTGCAGGGTGCTTGGCAACTGGTCATAAGTGTGAGTAGGTTGCCAAGGACCTACATTACAATCATGTGACCATGGGGTGGGTGACATGACATTTTACAACAGCCAGAAGTACTTCACGGGCTCTAAAGCACCCCTTCCAAGGCCATCATACATTTGAATGGTCATTAAACGACCAGTTAGAAGCCAAGGACTACCTGTATTCATGTTATCTTGATTTCACTGACAGACATTTTATCACTGAGGATCTATCTCGGTTCAAAGAGCTTCCAATATTTAAGGGAAGGTTGTGTCTTAATGTCAACATTCTCACTCCGTCATCAATTGGATAGGTGGGATGCAGCCAGGACTACTTCTGTTGTGTCCAAGTCCAGTTTAAAGAAAAACTATGAAAAGGGAGGCTAAAGACACTAACCAATAAAGACCAAACCTCGTTGTTTTAGTTAAACTTTGCTCTGTTACCATGATGGATATTTTAGATACTCAGAATGAAATGAGATTTAATCCAATTTAAAGTAAGCTCATCTCAACCTTTGAGTGGACACTGTTCGCAGAAAGACAAACCCTGCTAATTTTTCAATGGGAATTTCCTCTAGGAAACCAGTTTGATACCACTCGGAAGAGAACTATAGGGACATATTCACCAGGAATCAAAATAAATTCACTGGGATTCAATTTTTTTTACCACTGGTTCTTTGGGTGTGTCTTGGTGAGCATGGCGTGTCTTGGTGGGCATGGCATAGGTTAGGGGGTAAGGTTAGGGTTAGGGCAGGGGAAGGATACTGCAAAATCCCCATTCCCTCCCCACCCACTAACCTGTTTTCCAGCTCCGTTCTACTGTGCAGGGCAACCAAAGAAGACCCAGCCGATCAGCTGGGACTCGGGAGGCAGAGAATAGGTGGGAACGAGGCCAGTCAGAGGTGGTATTTGCCGGTTCTCCAAACTACTCAAAATTTCTGCTACCAGTTTTCCAGAACTGGTCATGAACCTGCTGAATACCCACCTCTGGACCCCAAGTTTGACTTGATTAGGTATCATCGATTTCCAGTTATCCTTTTTTAAGGAGGCTAAATTTGAATTACTGAAACATAGGAATTGTTTCTTAATGTGTAGCTTTGCACACCATATATTTTATGCAGATGTAGTTTCTATGGCCCATAGATCTGTGTCCTTTGTAGCCTTATTACCATGTATGAGTCACATCTTGGCAATGGTGAAATCTCCATTCTGTCCTTATATATTAACTTTCCTCTGTTCTTTGAGCCATAAATCACTCAACGATTTTTCAGATATTCCTTACCGGTTCCTGTTGTGCGATCTTCTTTTATTTGTTTATAAATGTACCTTCACCCTTGGAACAAAAATAGTCAGGATGACCTATGGAATACTGAGTTAAAGGAAAGGAAAGGAAACAAAGGAATGAAAAGAAAAAAGCAAGCAAGGAAGGAAGAAAATAAATAAATGAGGAGGAAGGAGAGAGGGAGGGAGGGAGGGAGGGAGGGAGGGAGAGAGAGAGAGAGAGAGAAAGAAAGAAAGAAAGAAAGAAAGAAAGAAAGAAAGAAAGAAAGAAAGAAAGAAAGAAAGAAAGAAAGAAAGA